CACTCGGGATCTGACGGATTCCACGAGGCGAGGTTCTGCAGGGGCCATCAATAAAAAGACCAGTCAAAAAGGGCTGTCCCTAAACACCGTGATGAAACCATCAAACACCTCCAGTGGTGGAGGGATCTGGAAGACACTATGCGGAGTGACATTAGTCAAGCACAAAACGGCAAATACTGCAAGAGTGCACTGCGTAGGAGCAAGCAGCAGACCGGGCACAAGCTCAAACGTGTAGGGCATCCAGTCTTCTGCGGGGAGACCAGCCAGCCTGGTCAAGAGCCGGAGCAGGGCCAATGAACCACACATCATCTGCTCCAGGTAAGTATAGTGTAGGTAGTGACTTGGCTGGAGGGCATCTCAAAACAGCTGGGATCAAATGATCGGGGAAATGGGGAACTGGGGGGGATGCTGTCTACTGAGTGGTTGCCATGTGGATCTGGGGTGAGGGCCTCTGGAGAGGGATGTGGCTCTGTCAGATGGATGAGGCTCACTGATGGGAGGGGCAGCACAGGAGAGGGAAGAGGGAAGAGTCACATTTGGGGGAACACAAGTGCATGTCTGTTGAGGGGAGGGAGGGAGGGAATGGAAGATGGTGGGGAAGGTGCTTTAGGGGACATTAAGTGGGGAGTGTCTTTAGTGGCATGCAGCAGATGAGCAACACTGAACTAGGGTACCCAGGGCTATCTGTGGAACCCAGGCTGGGTTCTGTGGGATATAGGAACACTGAATCTGGGAGCTTCAGGCACACAGCATGCTCCAGAGGCTGCATCGGTGAGACTTCATGTGGGAACTCCACTGGGTGAACTGGACTGTACCTCAGACACACTTGTAACCTGAGGACTTAAGTCAGAAAATACATGGTGTCTGAGGAAGCAGAAGACAGCGGTACCAAGAGCGGTGTACTGTGGGTTGGCGGACAAACAAGGTCTTGCTACGACAACACCCTATAAGCTGTTAGAAGATACGTATTATTCCAGCTCCTGTGACAGGCATTCTGTTTATTTTGCTTATGCTTACTCATATTAGGGTGCATCTCAGATGTGTGTTGCCACTGGGGGTCAACCTCTTGAAGTTGTGTTATTGGTTTTTGAAACCCAGGGGCCTTGAGCCTATAGTGAAAGCAAATGGAACAAGGGTTTGGGATGGAAAGGGATAGGGGATGGGGGAAATAAAAAGGAGATGGTGTCAAGAAGTCCAGGAAGGTAAAGTATGTTTGGAGACTGATTATGGAAGCAATTGTTCAATTCTGTTTGATGTGATTAAACTATGGAATGATATATGTATTAACTACCAATTTAAATATGCCATGTTTCCCTGAAAAGAAGACCTAATTACAGTTTTGCCTCTCGCTGAAATATAAGGCATCCCCCGAAAATAAGACCTCCCTGATAATAAGGCCCCCTGAAGCTACCGTAACTCTGGACTCTGGACCGTAGCGGTGGGTGCCACCGCACAGCTCACTGTTGGCCACAGGGCAGCCGGAGCAGACAGGAAGTGTGAGTAAATGTACCATAGATTATGAGTATATGTACCATAGATTGTTGTACATGGAAATAATGGTAGTAACAAGAAGTTCCTGATACTGTAGGATTCACAGTTTGTCTGGTTATGCTGGTTTGTGAGGACAACTACTACTGTACCGTATACAGGTAATAAATTTCCTTTTTTGCTGTTCAACAATAAATGTGTACCATATTCTTCTTCATGGAAAAATAAGATATCCCCTGAAAATAATCTTTGGAAGCAAAAATTAATATAGACAATGTCTTATTTTTGGGAAAACAGGATATATATATATATGTATTATGTAAATAACTCCCAAGTTATAGCAAATTAAAAGAAAAAGAAAAAAGCATAGTTAGATCCAGGAATGGGTTTGGGCTTGCATTAAATCCTAGCTCCAATTTAAGAACAATTAGTACTTACATCATGGTCCTGTTCACACCTCGCCCTCAGGAAGGGAACACAGAAGAGATGGGTGCTATAGCAAAACGTGCCAAAGAAGATGGTGCCCAGATAGCAGATAAAATACCATCTGGGGTCTTAAAGGCTTGTTTCCAAACAAGCAGCCATGCATGTGAGCTGTCAACTAAGTCCACATGGAAGAAGCACACCATCATCATCAGTCACTGAAGGATTGGAATCCATATAATCTGAAGTCGAGGGAGGAATCACTGTCAGAGCCTAAATTGTGAGAATACAGTGTGCAGCGATGAATGACAGTGGAAGCCCAAGAGTCCTTTGTGGAATGACATAGTAAATAAGCCTCTGGAGAACTACTCCTATCTAAAATTGAGGGTGGGAGAAAAGTGTCACTAAACGGAGTGCTTGGGAGGAGTATAGATGATCAAAGGCATAAATCTGACCTGAACAGTGAAAACTTTGTCAGTAGATCCCTCCTATGATGCAAGCTGGACCTGATCGGGTTTCCAAAATTTTTGTTTTTATTGTTTTGTGTAGTTTTTGTTCATTCACAGTACAGTGTATCTCAGAGGTGTTATGTCAATTGGGGCCACCCTCTTGAAGCTTTGTTATATGCTTTTTTGTTTGTCAGTATATGAAACCCAGGGCTGATGAACCTATAGGGATAGCAGGTAAAATAAGGGGTTTGGGGATTGGGGATACAGTGGGGTAAAAGAGAGACACTGTCAAGGAGTCCATGTAGAAGAAGAGTGGTTGGAAACTGATCGTGGTAGCAATTGTAAAATTCTACTTGACATGGTCAAAATATGGAAATGATATATTATATGTCTTAAATTCCAACTAATGAAAAAAATGAAATTGTACATGAGCTATACAATGAGTTATAGAATAAGTGGGGAGGGATATAGTGATGGTGGTGGTAGGGTAAAAAGGAATCCATGTAGAAAAGAATGTTTGGAAACTGTTGTACAATTCTACCCAACGTGATTGAAATATGGAATGATATATGTATTGAATCCTAACTAATAAAAAAATGAGTGGTCAATGCAAATCAAGTATCACGTTCATACATCCATGTAAAGGAAAGGCTTGATCAAAATCTAAGAAGAACAGACTACTCCCCATGAGGTACAAACCCAAGGTTGGAGTGAAAAGACTCTCTCGCTCCCGGGGATTTCTCCTGTCTTATAAAAATCCTCACAAAATATCCAGGAGGAATTCCATCAAGAGTAGGCAGAGACAGCCAGAGTCAAACAGGATAGTAAGAAAACAAGAAACCTAAATATCTTAGAAAACTATAAATTTAGCCTGGAAGTCTTAATTTGTTTCTTATTCTTTTATAAGTTCAGCATTATATGCTAAAGACATTCAACTCATACCCACAGACCATCTGTAACTGAAATACCAGATATAAATAAATGCTTTAGAAATACTAGCTCCCCACAGAAACACAAGCACATTGGTGATGGTTTCACCTAAAAGAGATACGAATGCCATGCTGTAGAAACACCAAGGGGCGGGGGGCTGTGGGGGCGGGAGGGATTAGATACAATTAGAAAATGCGTGGTTCAGATAAAAGAGGAAGGCAATGGCTGTGAAACCTTATGACAGAAAGCAGCTGGGAATGACGAAAGATCTGAAATGCATATAGTAGTTGTTAAGCTCACTTTCATTCATGTAACGAATAGTTATGACATTTCTATTATGTGTCAGCTACTATTCTAAGCAGTTACGAAGCAAAGCCAAGTCCCTGTTCTCAAGGAGCTTACCCATCAGCCCACCAACTCCTCAGCTGTAGGGCGGATTACAACTCCCAGTGGTAACCCTTTAGCATAGAGCTAAACTGACCCATAGAGTTTTCAAGACTAAAGCTTTGCAGGGGCAGGGTCTCTTCTCTCTCTGGTAAATTTGTGTGTCAACCTTGTAGTTAGCAACCCAATGCTTATGCCACACCACCACCAAGGCTTTAGTGGGCCAAAAATAAGTAATAAGCAAACACAGATAGTGACAAATGCAACTGAAAAAAGTAGACCATGCATCCCAGAAGCCAAGTGAAGGAAGTCTTTGGAGGACAAAGAAGTGAACAACTGTCTCAAATACTACTGATAAGACAAAGTGGAGACCTGACAACTGATCACTGGAACTAGTGAGATGCAGATCACAATAATGTCCATTAGTGCTATATTTTGATGGAACGAAACCTTAATTGCCAAGAGTTCATTCACAAAATAACACGTAGAAAAAAAATTACAGATGACAAGTCAAACTTGAGCCAAAGGGGACTGTAGTATATATGGTAAGTTTTCTTCGGATGTTTGTACCTGATAGGAAAGTGTCTGTAGAGAAGGGGTGAAGCTGATGATGTAACGGCTTTGCCGTGTAAGTATAATAGAGGAAAAGAAGGGCCTGGCATCTGAGAGGGTTTGCCAAAGGAAGGTTGTAATTATGGATCATGGCACCAAAGTCAAGTGGAAAGTGAAAGAAGGTGATAAGGGCAATTAGGGGTACTAAAAGGTGGTGGAATCAATACATGGCAGGTCCAAGTGAGATATACTACAAAGAATGAGTTGGAAAGGCAATAGGTGCAGGCAGAGAATGGAATGTTAGGAACTGAGATGATGAGATGATTTGCACAGTGTACTCACAAGGTCTGGTGCACCACAGTGTGTATGTGGCTGAGGAAGAATGAAGGACAAGGACACTAATGGACAGGAAATCAGGGACTGAGAGGCCAGAGGATTAGGAGGATCATTTATAGTGATATTCAAATCACTTAGAATCATGACAAGAGTGATACTGAGAGTGATACAATATTGAGTATTACAAAGTACAAGAGTAATACAATAGGCCATATGCTAAAATCTTCAAGTATAAGGGCAATGATTGAGGAATCTCTAGATAATAGCAACAAAACGAGAATAGGAGGTTCTATAGACTGATGGAATGAGTGTAGAAGCTGGGGGAGGAGGTTAAAGTTGTTCAATTTCTGCATCAATAGCTTCAGGGGTTGGTGCATGAATCTGATAGTCATTTCATTGATTGGGTTTCCTTGTAGATGGATAGATAGTATCCTATCACAGATACCACTGTGAGGCTCTGATACTGAGAGCTA